CCCCAAAACCCCAAAACCCCAAAACCCCAAAACCCCAAAACCCCTTGCAGAACAATTCGATTGAATTAGATATCGCAATTACTTTCTGTTTTGTAGAAGAGGATGTACATATTTTTGACTATTTTGGAACCAGGAGCAAACTTGACTGGTCTGAATTTGTGATCGTTGAAGTGGAGCCAGCCGGAGGTGTGCTTGCGAGTGGCGGTGTAGTGGCCGGAGTGGAGAGCGCCTGTGTGGGAGATGAAGCTGTGGAGATTGTAGGTGATAGGGACTTTGGAAGGGGTTTTGAGGGTGAATGAGGGTTTGTAGGGCATTGGGGTGTTGATCTTTGTCATGGTTGTGAGGTTGAGTCTTTGGAAAGCCATTATGAGGTATTTTGGGTATTTTATGATGCGTTTTGTGATAGTTCAGGGTCAGGTTTTTGAGCAATGTTTTCATTTAAAAGTTCTCTGAGAACTCTGATATTCCAGGTTTAGAAATTCATCAAATCCAATTTTTGGATTTTCCCTATCTCATATCAAAGGAACATGATTGAACTCCTCATAGACTTTTAATTTCTTCCTTCAACTCGTTCAGTCATATTTTGTTTCATACATCCCGAAGAACAATTTATCAACAATTGAAAAATTATTTTTTGTGTACTCTTCCCAAGCATTTTTATAATTTTGGTAATGATTTGATTTAACTTCCAATTTAGAAGGATTTTCCTCTTTCTTTATGGCTTCAAACAAATCTAAAATAAATTGAAGAGAATCATGCTGATGAGAGCTTGGAAATTCTTCTTCAAATCATTCTCTTATTTGTCAAAGATCTATTGGAGAACTGCTAACATCGAAATAACTTGATACCAGATGTTTAAGTGCTTTACAAACTTCTCCTCTTCAGTTAGTATTGTTTTTTAAATTGCCAGCTTTCATGTCTTGTTTTTCATTAAAAGAGCTCGAAAATTCAGGAATTCAGAGCAAGCATTGGAAGGCACTTATCATGAAACAGTCAAATCTTGGGTTATTGATTGCTTTTCATACAATCCCAATCTCATGGTTTTTGTAGTTTTGTTGAGTGAAATGGAAAAGACTCAGATCTTTACTCTCCTCTTTTATTTTATCATTAGAGTTTTTATATTGAGTAGGTTTGGTAATACCTTTTCCTTTTCCATTTTGATGAGATTTTTTGAAAACATTTTGGTTTGTGAAAATCTGAAAAATCTTTTTTCGATGATTTATCACAAATACTCAACTTTTGATTCCTGCTTCCATTATTTTATTAGTTTTCTTAAAAGGTTCTAACAAATATTCCATTACTATTTTATATTAACTCTTCTCAAATTTGAATTTTAAGACCGGGGTTTTGGGGTTTTGGGGTTTTGGGGTTTTGGGG